GCAGTGCTGCCTGATGCGTCTGATCAATAGAATAAGAGGAAAAAATTGGAATGTTCCAAGCTCAAACTTGTTAATTCAATCCTTCATAGATATATTCAATCTGCAATAGCTAATCATCCTATTATCATCGTAACTATATACCAGCCATTCATATAGGGTGATATACAAACGTGCAACAAGAAGCCAGCAACAAGCAGACACCTCATCTAAATAGCAGAAGGTACATCCTCTCTCTATGATAGCTGATTATGTAGAATGTATAGATAGAAAAACACAAGTTAGAAGTGTAAAGCTAAGGTGCAATGCATGATAGACAAGATCTACCTGGTAGACAGCTTCAATAACAATATAACGCCTCACTTTCTGGCTCGCTTGCTTCTTGTACTAATTTTCTCCAGAGTTTCTCTTAAAGAATTCATGTCATTGTGCTTGAAATACACCACTGTGCTTCTAGAAAGATAAAGCCCATTCTGTATCCCCCAGTGGACTCCTTCATCCCTGTAAAAGACCCCCTTGTATGCAAAAGTTAAACCCTCAATAATACGAAAACTAGCCAAAAAGCTTCAAATGTGTGCCAAAGGCTGCCTCAGATCATCAGGTTTACTGGGTCAACTACACTGCCTCTGCCTCTGAATATCAGAGAGTTTATCACATTGACATTTTAACTAGGGCTTTTAACTCATGGATAGACACAATCAAATACAGCTCTTGCTTTATTGTTATCAAATCAGCATAAAGAAGCAGAAGAATTGAGAAATAAGCACTTTGGCCCAACAAAAATTTTGAGATAAACGGCTCGGCTATCACATCAGCAGTGTTTGGCTATCACTGCTCTCTATAATTGTCTGAAGAGGAGGCAAAACTGGACAGAACCATATAGCCAATAGTCAGAGTTTATGCTTACACCAACAATATTCTCCTTTTTTAGAGAAAGCAGGAATTGCACTGAACATGGTGGAAAGTCCATAAGAGTAGAGAATTGAATCAGGGGTTCCCAAAAACTTTGCTATTCTGGCTTCACAGTCAAGGTGCACGTCTGGGGAAAAAAAGTAGCACAAGAGAACAATCATTTACCACTAAAGAACTTTGTTTTTAAATTTGAATCTACTTTAACAATGAACCTTACCAATTGTTCCATAAAACCCACGAGGACCACAAGAACCAACACCATATTTCTCAAGAGCAGAAGAGCAGGAGTCCTGAAATAGAAAGTTGCAATGAGTGCACTGTGTTATAGCATATAAAAACAGAAGAAATGTATCAGGGATGCATGGAAAGTTTTCTTACAAGCAGCTTCTTATGACCTATCAACCCAAGATAGTTTGCTGAAGCAAAATTCACAACTTCTTTACCATTAATTATGGCATGTGGCCCTGCAGCACTGCAAGAAACATAACTCATCTCAGCAGCAGGAAGATACAGGTAGATAATTGGCTGTTTTTTTTCCCTGATAATCCTATATGTAAACTTACATAACACAATGAATCCACATCATGACATTTATCTGTCAAGACCTTAAATCATCTTATACACTCAATCAACAAAGCAAACAAGAAATATAAATAAAATGTCCAAACATATAAAAGGATTAACATAAATCAGATTTCCCTCAAGAAAAATCAATCACCTCTCTAGCACCGGTGGTTCATACTGCATCTCTTTACTAACATGAGGAATAAGGGGTTCTGGAACCCATTCGTCACACAGCTCATCTATTTCCTGCAGATATTAGGCATGCTCCAATAATGTCAAGTAATAAGATGATAATGAGTAAAATTATTAGATTTCTGGAAGTTTTTCCGAAACATTATCTAAATGCACGGTTCGAGGGATTCAAATCATAATAGTCACCAAATAGGTTATGTTTATCCTGAAAAATAATAATATAACTAGGAATTCCCCATGGACCATAATAGCACGATCTACCAATGTCCATCTTAGCATTGCAGCATTTTTGTTCTAAAGAGTCACGAGTACCAACAATTCAGAAGCAGCAAGTGATGTACAAAAATATGCAATAGAAAGCACAAAATATGAACAGGCACCTTCTACAAGATGAGAAGAAGAAAAAATTACAAACCAGAAGTCAAAATAAAGCACATTGAACTATTGAGGGACCTGGCCAATGAAAGGAAAAATGTGAATAGGCAGGAATTTTGAAATAGAATCCTATTCAATTCCCCCTTCGAGCTCTCAATGTCTTCACAAATCCATCAATTGTATTTCCAAGTCAATAAAGAACAAATGAATATGGCATTCAGATCTACCAACCTTATACCAGACCTAAACCTCCAATCATAGTTCAGTACATACAGATAGATCATGTCATCTAAAAAGATCACAACTGCATGAACAACATCTCAAAGCCCAATGCAGCAGCAAGCAAATCTCTGCAACAAGTTAATCCCATACTTACAAGACTCAGCCATCAAAGTATTATATCTCCCAGATATTAAAAGCAATAGAACCCAGTTAAATCACATTAAAGTTAAAGATACCATTTCAATAAACTCTTAAGATCATAAAGACAAATCACGAGGGGCCAGTTCTGCAAAGCAGATTCTTTCACAAAACTGAAGATTATCAACCTAGGAAGTTCTAGAGATCACAAATAAGATAACCCCCTACACTAGATCACTAGAACACTAAAACCACATTAACCACTTCTACATAAACTTGAAATTATTTTGAAAAGTTTAAAGCTGATAGAACAACTATTCAAATATGCAACATACTGATCCTCGTTTTACATGAACATAATGGGAGAATTTCCCTACAGTTAGTGGAGTGGCCAAATTAAATTGTTATTGAAAATCACAATTTTTAATCCTCCAGATGTCAAAAATTTCGCACACAATAGATTTGTATGGCCCGTATACACTTTACATAACTGAAACTTCAGTGGTGAGTAAACATAACTGAAACAACATTGTTGATCTAACCTTTTCTGTTAAGGGCCGTTTAGGAGGCTTGTAACTTTTCTGCGAAAGCAGGAAAAGGATGACCACCAGAAGAAGACCTTCCACGAATAAATGTCCTTCAAAGAGAAGATGGTAATAAAGGCAAATCAATTGATCATGCACTGATAAGCCATAGGGTGAAGATATTTCAGTCAAGGATGTGAAAGATTACCGCCATATGAAAACCAAAACCACAGCTCGAGCAGAAGGAGCGTCTAAAGCCAATGTCATCCAATTTAACGTAGTGTTTAAAAAATTTAGGACTGGTGAGGCCATCGTATTCTCAATATCTCAAATATCGAAGAAAACCTTGAACGTCATTCTCAATACAGCAGTCCTGGGTCAACTTCCCAGACACTCAAAGCACTGTATTTTATGGATACTGCACCTATATGCTGCATACACCGAGACAATTACAAATCTATTAGTTTTTTTTTTCCCCGGTTGGAATTACAAATCTATTAGTTGATCATAAACACATTAGACAATCACAAATGCGGCAGTATAAAGAACAAACAAATGAGAAATTGAACATAATTTGCAGGTGATGTAATACAAATTCCAGTTGAAAAGCACAACTAGGCGAATAAACCATCTGATACCCAGAGCATTTCAAATCAAAATCCCTTGTCTCTCTAAAGGAAAGGAAGTCCAATCAGATGGAAGTTCACATATCCAGGTGAAAAGTTGCGTTCAAACCATTCAGAATAATAACTTAGATTTTTATCAACAGCTAGAATTAGAATGAATTTATAAAAAGAAAATGCTTCGTTTGGGGATAACATCTAAGCAGGGTCTGCGTGGACAGGGAGAACGACCCCAAAATTTGCAAAAACCGTGTATGGCATGACGGCACATAAGTTTCTCCAAAAGTCCACATTTTCACTAGCGCTTCAAAGTAATGCCTCCAAAAACGAGAGCGATAGGAGCATAGAACCAGCATTCCACACATCGAAGGCCAGATAGCGGCCAGCCAAGAACCATCCGCATTCATCGATATCATGATTGTCTCCATAAAACTCGAAGCCCCTATCCTTACTCAAATATGAACTACCCCAATTCAATCCATAACCATTTATCGCAATTTCATCCGAAATCGTAAGATTACGGATGTTCACGATAATCTCACGAGTTTATCTTCAGTGCGATGCATGCTACAGAAACAAGAAGGTTTAGGGATCCGCGCGACGGAACTTAGAACATACCAATAGCACGAAGCAAATGGAAACAATCCGCAATAGATCCAGTCGAACGCCGGCACTTTTGTCGATATTGAACTTACCTGGAGATTGTAATGTGTAAAACAGTGAAGGCGGCTGAGATACGAGGACAATTCGGAGTTTTCTCCTTCCTTCGATATTATGGCACTCCGATAACAGACGAGAGATCTGACCCAAAAAAAGATAACAAACGAGAGAGGAAGGGTCAAACGATTCTGATTTTGCATCCCCCGTGTTTTTCCTCCCTTAAATACGTTAAAATGTTGATGCTGATGAGGGAGGCCACATCGCCAATCCCTCAATGGTTGTCGCTGTCATGTCACCTTGCCGCTTTGTTCGCTTCAGTGCTGCTATTCAGAAGTTTGATAAGAATTCTCATCTTTTCTGGCCAAAAAAAAAAAAAAGAATTCTCATCTTTCTTTTCTTTTGTTTGGTCACTTCTGGGAAAAATTTGACATCTGTTATAAATATTAATACTTCCAATCTTTAATATAAGATCCTATTTAACTTTTATCTTGGTCCTAAATTTAAGATCTCAATCCACTTTGTCTTTCATATTTATATATATTTTTTTCAAAATAGCTTTTCTAGTAATAAGAATTCTAGTTAATACACTTGATTAACAAAGATATTTTAGGAAAAATCACCTATTTAGGACAAATAACTAACTCAACTTACTTTCTCAATCTCCTTAAATTAGTTAATTGGCTCTTATAATTAGAATCGGAGGTAATACAATATTAAGTATGGATATCCATAACTTTTTAAAAGTTATCTTTTGTCGTTTTACACTTTAACTAAATTAAAATCTTATATAAAGTTAAAAAACTAAAAATATATTTTAGCTTTTATTTTATCTCATAGGCATCTACACCTATTTTCCATGTGCTAGATGAAATTCAAAATTTATTAATAGCAAAATTTGAGATGAGCTTTGTATGATTATGATACATTGATATAGTAATAATTAATTAACAAGCTTTAATGGTGTTTTAGTGATCATTGACTTGTGAGCAGTTGATTTGAGAGCGAGGTTGGGACTTCGCGCTTGGCCTTCATTCTTGCATCGTCCTTCTCTGAGGGAGCTGGGATTGAATTTTTGCAGTGATATAGTGAGTATTATATGAAGGCTTTTATAAGAATACTTAATGATGTTAATCTCAGTGCATGGATTGATATCCACGTAAAATATGCGCGACCTTACCTTTCACGATCATTTTGTGATAAAAAATAGAACACATCATCTCAAAAGTGACAGAAACATATGTAAATTTATACAATACTTAATATACTTCTATTAAATTGAGTTAAATTACAAGTATTTTAAAATTGAGTTAATGTTTCGTCCAAAAAAAGTGAGTTAATGACAATAATGATAAAATTAATTATAAATAATGCATGAAATTACCTATTTAAAGGAACGGAGGATGGGACCAACTGTGGGTTTATCAATAAACTCCTCTGCTTTACTGCCTTGTTGACTAAGCGGAACATAGAAATAGAAATCTTTTGCTTCTCTATGTACCTATATATAAATCCTGATTGTTTTTCACTTGACCAGTTATACGTGCATGATTCAAATTCAAGTTTCCGTGGCATCATCCCCCATGGCGACAACTAATCGAAACAAATTTTTCATGGCCATATGTTTGAAATCATTGAAAACTGCTGTTTAAATTATTTTTCCATCTAGTTATTAGCAAGAGTTGAGTATTGTGAATCCTTTCAAATGATAAAAGCTTGGAGATCATGTGTCGCTATTTGCTGCCATCAATATCCAAGGTACTTGCTTTTGCTTATCAATAAGCTATTTCCTGGGATTGATCTTTCACGAGCCAACAGGTAATTATTAAACTGGACTGCTTGGAAGGTTACAAAACTCCTGTCTCTAAAAGACCTAGTTCTGCAATTGGATTTCTTTTGGCCAACCAAAAAAAAAAAAAAAGGGAGAAAAGAAAAAGGATGTCTCAAGGACTGCTCCAAGACCTCGTTCCTAACTCTGTCTCCCTTCGCAGCTTACTTTCTGTTTTGTTAAGCGTCCAGGAATGCTGCTGCAGACTGGGTTGATGCCACAGTTTCAAAGGGGGTGGACACTTCGCTCATCTCAGCTAGGGATTCATAAGCTTTTGTTTATGGTCAGCATCGCGTGGAAGAAGAAGACGGCGAAGGCAGAGGCCCATTTCTTGTTTGGCAATCAATGTGTGATTTGGTCACATAGGGTGATAATGTTATGGAATCATAATCATGGCTCTCAATGAAGCCAGAGCTCCACTTTGATGTGCTTAGAATGAGTGCACAAACACCCAAAAAAAACCAAAACAAACAAAAAACTGCTCTAAAGACAATCCAAGCTACCTCAGGTTTCCAATTGTATTCATAATAATAATGATTTTGCTTATCTTAGTTGCATGGCGAGGGATATGGCGGGAAAGGAGCTGCCACTATGCGGTAGCAATTGAAGACCAGGGCGATATAAAAATTGTTGAAAGCATAATTATTATTTACAGTATAATACATATTAGGAATATAAATTGAAGATGAGTGCAATATAAAAATTATTTAGATGTATACATGCCTACAATTCATACAAAATCCGCCACTTCCATTGCTTAAATCCTATCAATAGGATGCCATTGCGCTACTCGACTCTCTTATATCGTCGATCACTATGGTCTACAGGATTCAAGTCTCGGAAGGGGATAGAGAATGTCAAGCCGCTCCCCTAGTACCCCAGCATGACTGTTCCAAAGACCGAGGCAACGGATAGTCAAAGTACACTCGCAAGATGTTCCTTAAATTCCTCTAGCATATGCAATCATTAAAAAAAAAAAAAAAAAAACCGAAACCTTCCCCGCCTTAAGATGAAGAGACCAACTTTAGTACGGTGACGATGCACAGAGAAACAAGGCATCGCGAAGGTACCCTTTGCCAAAGAGTTAACAACACCAGTAAGCATAGTGCTCCTCTTTGCGATGGATGCTAACAAGGCCACCACACTTCAAACAAATGAAGCTACTCCCGTCTGAAACAGCATCCAATACTATTTGCGTCCTCCCAGTTTCCGCCAGTATAGATGTCTCGTGAACGTCTGGAATAATCGATGGACCAGAAATGTTATTTGCTGATGTTTCAATATTTACAGGCAAAGCTTCAGCAATGGCACACTCAGCAAACAAAGAAGCCAGTTGATCAACAACAGCATTGTCTCGCAGTTTACTTCTATACAGCTCACGAGCTCGGTCTAAGAACTGAAAGACAGCTTCATCCCCACCTTTTGTCTTCATGGCAACTACCACCTGTTCCAAAATAAAGTATTTATCAGCCAACGAAAAGACTTCCGGTTTTACGGCTTTAAGATGTGTTTTCTCTTTTGCCAAGCATTTTGCAGTTTTCATGGAAGAGTTTTGTGCTTCACGAAAGAGTTTTGTGCTTCACGAATTACAATAGGTAACCTCCTTTATTCATTTGTCTGAGTAGCTGATTCATCGTCATTTAAATTCTAGAGCATATGGGAGCCACAATAAAATTGGCTCATTCCCCAAGGCCGTTTATTGACAATGTCAAGGCTAGAGAAAGAAGACAAAGCGGCTCACAACTCATCACCAAGGTATTATATGTTTCATTTATTTGGCACCTAATTATATTTAGAGTAGAACAGGGATCTTGTAGCAGTAGTCACACACACAGCTAAAAGATAACTAGCATAATATTACTAAAATTGTTATCTACCCACAACATTTGAATAAAGCATTGGAGCAGATAGGCCCTCAGTAGGCATGACCTGATCATGCATCAGTTATTTGAATAAAAACGGTAAGTATCTAGTAGTTCTCCATCTTCAATGATGTAGAAGTTAACTTCTATAAAAGTTTAATTTTGTTTCTACTCAAAATCATATTCACGTCTAACATGTCTCATACATCTGGAAAATATGTATTTAATTAATGTTACGTTGGAAATTAAGAACTTTGGTATCTGCTCTAAGGTGAAGACTTTTGGACCCACAACAGATCACATGTATACTTAACTTTGTCATTCGTATAAGTATTTGGATATCGGTAGGTAGAATCTAGAATGTGCTATTAAGTGAACCAGAATTTTCTTCCATCCCAAATCAGAGTGTTTCCAAGTTCTCAAAATCGAAGTCTTTTGAAGTCCTCACGACACTATTTACAAGGTAGCCAGGTTACCTAAGAATGTGCTATTGGGTTCGTAGTCACTAGTCAGCCAAAATTTTGCACAAGGTTAGCATTCTAATGGTAGGCTTTCAAGATATTGCACCACATCACTTACGGCTGGCAAAACACCATCGTATCAAACAGCCTCAGACTTTTCTTGAAGCATTTTGGGCAACCCATAATTTAATAATTATTTTCGACAATTTTGTTGATATCGTAGTCACTTTTGCTCTAAATTTGTCTTGCCCGAGATATCAAACCATTACTCACGTACGAAGTCCAGTTACCAAGTTCCAAGGCTCCAAAAGCGGTGTGGTTGTATGAAGGCTATCGAAATCATAACGTTCAATCGCGAATTGAATGAAGGGGAAAAAAATCAATTCTTTGGGGAAAAATCAATTCTTTCTAACATGATAATCTACTTGAATGTTACAGCAACAAGAGCCTCGGATGTATGAAAACCCCTTCAACTACTGACTCGAAACAGCATACAAGAGCGCAATTGTTCAGCAAGAACATTAGAGATCAGATAAACAGAGGAAGGAAATTCTCCACTCTTATAATATATTGACATTGGAAGAGATAACAGAATTATAACCTCAAGAAAAAATCAAATTGAAAGAAAGTTCGAAACTACAAAAATTAAAATAAAATGAGCAGAACAATCAATCGGCAGCCAGCGTAGATTGAAAGAATAGGTAGAAAAGAATAAAGATTACCGCATGGAGAGCTTGGGAAGGCTTGCCCTGATCGATGAGCTGGCGTGCCAATGTGAGTAAATCTCGAATGAAGTCGTTCTGCCCGGAATTAGAGGGCACCGCCACCTCCGGGTTTGACGCCTTCTCCGCCTCAATCATATCGGTGTCCATTTCTGGTTTTCTAGGTTTCTCTTCAAATAATCTTGTTCCAGATGTGTGGCCTCCTCATTCAAGTTTCCGCAGAGACTGAATCTAAACGTTCTGCCCGTACATATGGTATTTTATAATAAATAAATATAATCATCATGCGCTTCGGACTAATGAGGTCATTCTAGCAGATTCTGCGCTGCCATGGCAGTTGGCATCTTCCTCCTTTTCCAGGGAAACGTGGACGATATGTATGGTTCCTTCTCCCTAGGCTTAGCCCATAATCTGGCCCAAAACTAAACCAGTTTAGCCCATAGTCTAGCCCATAACTACCCATTTTAAAAGGGAGATCAGTGCGAACCCTCACATTCAACGCATGACTCGGTGTCCATCCATGTCGCATGCCGTATTTGCGTTTGATAATCCGGGAGTGTGAATATAATTTGTGACAAAATTCTCCAACAATGGAAAATTCTTTTGACCCCCTGAAAGAGATAATTGTGGCTCATAAATTTAAGAAACAAACAACCACCAATAATTGCGTTGCATTTTTCAAGGGCGGTGCTTAAGTGGAATCAACTTACATGGGGAAAAAAAATGCTAGAGCGGTTTATATATTCACATATTCATGGTTTCCTTGGATAGTAATGTTTATAGTTATGGTGTATCGTTAGAGACAGTTAAATACAAAATTCTATTATCGGCAGCCTTCCTAAATCCTAATAGCAAGTTAGGATTATGTAATAATACCTAAAGCAAATGAATTTCCAGGAGACTAGTTTTTGCAAAGAGCAGCCACATCACCCACATGATTAATGAATAATAATATACTTCTACCCTGTATTTTTCTATATCCAAATCCAGATCATATTTCTCGTAGCCCTGGCAAACGAACAAAAATGCTCAAGCGTGAGTCAGAAGCCTAGCGAGTGGAATTGACAGAATAGAGCATCGCATGACTCAGGACATTTATGTCTATTCCCTTTGAATCTAACCATCGGCCTGCTTATACAGATCTCTTTCTCTATCCAATATTATATATCATGCAACTAAGCAAAAGCGGATAAAAAGATGACACAAGAAGACGTTAAGACGTGGTGGCGCGTAGGTCCAACGCACTATCCTCCAATAATACAATCTCTTTAATTTCGTGCAGCATCTTCAAGACCTGCCACATAGTGGGCCTCTGCTCAGGAGAGGTCAAGCTACAAGTAGTAGCAACCTCAACAAGCATGTCCATTCTGTTGTCTTCTCCTCCCTTATCTTCCCGCACGGATTTCACCCAACTCACCCTATCACTGGGCACCAAGAGAGGGTGTTCCGAAGGAGGCTTCCCCGTCAAAAGTTCCAGCAACAACACACCATAAGCGTAAACGTCAGATTTCGGGTTTGGCTGGTGATTCGGATTGCGGGTCTCGGGCGCTCTATACGCAGCGGAATCGGGATCTTCATGGAAGCTGGAAGGGTTGGCCAACATGGAGAGACAGTAATCAGTTATGCACGCTTCAAAATCAGGGCCCAGCAAAACGTTGGAGGACTTTAGATTGCCATGTACTAGTCTCCAGGCTTGGTGGATGTAGGACAGCCCTTGTGCGACGTCCTCTGCTATCTTCAAACACGACGTCCAGTGCAATGGCCTTGCCCTGCTTGATCTTGAACCTGCGTCCACCACACCGTTAGTCAACACTTGCTATTCCCAATTTGACAACCAGTCACCCGCTAATCACTAAGTTTTGGTACACATCGAAAAACCCTACACGTGCAGCAGAGATTTAAAGTCATGCGATGTATGAATAACTGAATATCATACACATGGGACCCAGAAGGATATGGGAATCCCGTTCAATGCTTGCTTGAGGACGTAATCATAATAAGTAGGCAAACTGGGTCCGCCCCTGCACCGAGGGTGCCCGTGAATTTAAAGCTCAACTCGTTGCACAGAGCTTGTCCAGCGACGACACCATTGGATGGCTCCAGTCAATGTTCGTACAATGTGAAGATTTAAGAAAGGTCCTAAGGCCATTTGTCAATGTAGTCAACAACCATGCACTAATAACTGGGAGCCCTAAGAGACAGCTTATCCTGTTTACTGGTAAGTGGTCAGGATTAGGGAATAAATTCTGACCGTGCGATAGTGAGAAAGAAACGGAGCAATCGACAGAACGATAGACGACAAGGTCCCGGAGTGACGCCTGAGTCATCTCATATAAAGTAACATTAGTCACCTAGCTTAAAATATATTCAAAAAAGCATTTGTTATGTAGCATGCAGCAAGATTCTCGGGTTTCAAAGCTCAGGTGCTATCAAATCCGAGAAATGGATCACATGTGAAGGGAATTTCAAAAGATTTTTCATGAACTCCACGTCATTACCTGTTTGAATTTTTTCGGCAACATCAACAGCACTTTTTTCAAAATTAAATAGCAACCCGCAAATCAAGGAAACAAACAAGTATGCTCTGGACTTGTGAGAACTAGTTCAATGTCGCCGAACCTTGTGATTGATTCATCTCACCGACCGGAGAAGGATGCACAGATAGATCATAGATATTTACTAAAGCACCCAAGTCGGAAATGGAGAAACTTACCGTGTACGAGGGAGAAAAGACTGCCATTAGGCTCGTAATCATAGATAAGAAGCCTCTCTTCCCGGGCATGAAAATAGGCCCTAAGGGGGACCAAATTGGGGTGGCGAAGCCCGCCTACTGATTCCATATGACTATCAAAGATTTCCTTGGTTGAGTCCGCAGCCATTTTAGTAGCATCGAGGCGCTTCACAGTGACAATCAAACGGTTATCTAAAACCGCTTTGTATGTAGTCCCCAACGATCCCCTCCCCAAAAGCTCCGCAGAGGCTCTCATAAGCTGATCCAGCGTATAGAGCTGCGCCTCCCCCGCACAGAACATTAAGCTCCCACTCTTCCCCACTTGCATCCCCTGCACCTTCTTCACCTTCTCCTCCAGCTCCTTCTCCTGCTCCATTTGCATCGCCGCCGCAGCTTCTGCCGCCGCCGCCCCATCAGAATCCATAAGAGTCCTCGAAGACTCCTTCTTATCTCCCTGTTTCCTCAAGGCCACCACGAAACAGACAAGCGAAGCGATCAGAACGCAAACCCCTGCGGAGAACCCAATAATAACTGCATTTCTGTTGTGCCTTTTCTTGTACGGTGGACGAATCAACCCGTCAACGCCGTGGACTTGGGCACTCTGACCAAGCTGCACCGCCGGCGGCGGCGCTGTCACGAGTGGTGCCGCTGGTGCAAAGAAAGGTGCGCTTGGATGGCATTCTTTGCGGATGATTTCGCCGCAGAGGCCTGGGTTTTGAGAGAAGGGGGTGGGTCCCAAACGCACTAAAGTGGGCGTAACAGGAATAGGTCCGAAAAAGTTGTTACCAGAGACGTCGAATGTTCGGAGAGAAGACTGATTGAAAGGAGGGATGGAGCCATTGAATCTATTCCAGCCGAGACGGAGGTAGTAGAAACGGTCTAGCTTGGTTAAGTAGGTAGGGATGGGGCCTGAGAGATTGTTGTGAGAGAAGTCCAACGTGCGGAGCCTATGGAGGGTGAGGATTGAGGGAGGAAAAGAACCCGTGAAGTGGTTGTTATCGAGGAAGAGGCTCTTGAGGTTGTGGAGACCGGAGAGATCAGGGATGGGTCCAACGAGAGAGTTGTTCTGCAAACTGAGCACCCGGAGCTGGTCAAGACGAGACAATGTGTTGGGAGCGAAAATACCACCGAGATCTAAACCCTGAAGAACGAGACGCTCCACTTTCTGTTTTGCATTGCATTGAACGCCCTGCCATTTGCAGAAAGCATCTCTGGAGGTGTTAGGGGAGAAAAGGAGGCGATCGTTGAGATCAGCTTTGGATTTGAATGACAGTAAGGCGGCAGAATCAGGAGGAAAAATCGGAGGAAGTGCAGGTGGAGGATGAGGCAAGAGAGGCCTAGAAGGAGCAACAAAGGAGCAAAGTGAAAATAACAGAAACGAAGACAGAAATAACAGCAAGTTTTGAACTTGAAGTGGAAAGGAGAAATGATCTTGTTCGAGCATTGCAGAAGACGGAGGGGTAAAAAGAAAAAATAATGCGAAGAGGAGTATATACTTCGCAGGAAGCAATCTGAGGGAGTCAGTATCCTCTGGGTTCAGTTCAGGAAGCAAGTGGGGATAGATGGCAAGTCCATAATTGTCATGGTTTACAGAGCTAGAGGACTAGAATAGGTTTTGTTGTTTTTCTTTTTTAATTTTTTAAGTTTGTGAAAAGCAAGATTACAGTTTACAGAGACCGAAGAGGAGGCTCGCGGTGACAGAAGAGAAGCGAGCAGTACGTGACAAAAGGGAATAGGAGCAGCTGTCTCGCTGCATTAGCTCAGAAATCACGTGACAAAGGATATCGGAGCAGCGTTCTAACCAATCAACTATTTGTATTATAATATATGGATATAATGCATTTTAATAAAACATCTTGCCGTGGGGAAGTTGCCTCCTCAACTGTCAAGCAAGTCTATAAAATTGGGAGAAAACCCACTTGATCGGGAGAAAAAGGTCTGGAGAAGACACGTGAGAGATATTTATTTAGAAAAACAAAATGGGAAAAATCCGGTCATTATAAAGATTGGGTTATTAATCACCAAACTTAAAAAGAATCTGAAAAAATTTAAAGTCTTGTAGCTTGAATTATTCCAACTACTTGAAATTGATACCTCTAATGAAAAAAAATGTAGTTTAGAGATAGAGGTGGCGTTTTAATTTGGAAAGATTGAAATGGGAATGGGATGGCAGCTTCAAAATGAACAAGATACAGTATGAGGTAATGTTGATGCGATGGTTGGTTTGGAAGGCAGAGTGTGGTTTTGCGTGAGGTTTGGAGGGTATGGGCGGTGGGGGCATGTGAGGGGCCATTCCCAGGGACATATCCTTCCAGGGCGCAGGGCGCAGTAAATTTCATGGCAACGATGAAAACTATAAGTTAACCACCCATGCTGTACGACTCTCTCCGCCCCATAACGTTTTCCCCCCCTGCCCAACGGTCAACTCCCCACTTCCCTCCCCACATATGTTCCTCTTTTCTCCTCTCCCTCTCTCTACACACAGTACACTGTACACACAGAAAAAAGAAAGAAGGGGGAGGGGGAAAAGGAGTCTGCCTAGTGTGCTACGTAAGAGGAGCACGATGTCTACCCTCTGCAGTTCCAGTCAATCATACTATTTTTTGGGACCGAAAAATCCTGACTTTGTTTTTTTTTTTTTTTTTTTTTGTTATAAATCCTGACTTTGTTAAAGATGCGTGATGCGTCCATTCACGAGAGCCACAGTTTCGAGGAAGGAATTGTTTATGTCCCATCGGTTTACTTGAGGAGTTTTGCCCTCTTCATATTGGTCCCCTTGCTACGAAAAATGTATCTATCTGGGACCTGTGTGCCCACCTTGTTCACTGGACCAAGTGATTCGCTGGGCTTTTCCCTCATATTACATCCAGCAACACTAATAAGTGAACAAAAATTAAAGACTACGGATCCCAGCTCAGCCCAGCCCAATAGTAAAGGAATAATGATGAGAAAATAACAGGAGATGTTCAGGTCAAAAAAAAACACACGAGATGTATAGCCTGCATTCGAAAGTAGAGATTGTGAAGAGATCTGGCAGTGCTGGGTGAAAATGTGTTGGAGCCGGATAGCCCACATGTGAGAGATTTGGTCTTAAAAGTGAAACCAAAAAAAAAAAGATGACAGGACCCAATGCGGCCTACTAAATGAATGCAGCCCATGGATACATGTTATGCTTGGCAATTAGTAGTGTGTTATAATCACTCGTCACTGCCTTGGGCCCAGTCCCCCAGCACCCCTCAGGCCTTCAGCCGCATATTTGGGTGAAGCTTTCCCCGATAGCTCCCGTAATGAGGAGAAGAGGAGAAATTTTCTTCTGAGCCTTAGTAAGATATATAAATTATAAAAGAAAAATTATTGTACGATCCCATATAAACAATTTAATCATTAAAATCCCACAACAAGTGAGCAGCATACAGTAACAAATTTTAAGTGAGCCGCATAATAATTTTTCTAATTGTAAATATGTTAAGTGGCCTCAAAATTCGGATCTCTGTGCTTGAGTAGCAATAAAGCATCACGTAACTTGGGCATCTTTCAGAAATTATTGCTACCGTATAATGAATTTTAAAGAAAGTCCTGCTCTTTAAAATGTATTTTTGCCCATACGTTCATGGGTCAGAGGTTTTATGTTCGCATCATTTGTAGATATATCCTAGCCGTGGGAAAAGGGCGCCAAAGTCAGGACAGGAAGGGGGGGGGTGTCAAAGTATCTTCTGAATCTTTAATCCCTTTGTCGCTATATCCTTCCATTAACACCTCTGATGCTTGATGATTTGATGCTTTCTAGAACCACATTAAGAAACCCAAAAAAAAAAAAAAAAGGCCGGAAACGAGAGGAATTTTGTTACTTGTCCATAAACATTAATCACAATCATTTCTCGATCGGCTATGGTTGTACGTAAAGGCGCCTGCCTCTAATCCTCGCAGAAATGTCATGAGGAACACGAGATAATGAAACTTTTAGTCCCGTGTCTTGGTTATATAGATTTGATCCTTAAAATTTAAGTTTTATCAATCAATTCTATAGAACCTTGTGATCATGCATAATTGATTCAAGCTGTTGAGGGTGAAAATCTCTGAGAACTGCGGAAAAAATTGTTGGTCTGACAAGATAAAATGTGAATATGAAGTCATGTTTGAAATTCTAGACACTCGATTGATAAAATAAACTTCAGGAGTGTTTCACCAAAAACAAAAAAATAAATAAAATAAAATAAACTTCAGGAGTGAACTGGTAAGTCTCTCTCTGTTTTTTTTTTTTATTATTTTTATTTGAGGGGAGGGGGGAGTTGTAGCTAAAAACGAGTATTGTGAACAAGAATTTTAGTTAGGAGCGGAACGGAAAGTATTTGAGGGTTGAGAAAGGAACCAGTGGGATGGAATGAATAAGGGAAAATTACAAATAAAGACCCCCCAATATATAAAATAGCAATCAGGGACCCTGAATTTGAGAAATTGCTCACAAGGACCCGGTCTCAATTTGCAATTATGAAATCATGGCCAAATTACCAAAATACCCCTCTTTAATTTTTTTTTTTTAAAAAAATAACACCACTACCTCGCCGGAATCCGGCCGCTAGAGCTCCGATGCCGACGGCCGGATTCCGGCCATTGCCGGCGACCTTCCTTTGTTTTATTTTTTTAAACTGCTTTTTTTTTTTTAAATTGGGGGGAAGTGAGGTTGGGGGATTTGATCCCCCAACCTAATGCTTCCCAAAATTAAGAATGACTATCGAGCCAACAAATTTTGCTAACATTATGATACAAAAAAAAAATAAGTTAACTCATTTACTCTTGTTCCAAGTGATAACAACAATACATTTAGAAATAACAAGTTCTGATTGTAAAATAACACGTCTGGAATAAAAATTTAACAATATGTTTTTTTTATAACAACACACTCTATTTCAGGTGATACCAACAATGCATTTGAAAATAACAAGTTCTGATTATAAATAACAAGTTTGGGATTAAAATTTAACAACACATTTTTTTAATAACAACACACTCTGTTTTAGGTGATAACAACAATACATTTGGAAATAACAAGTTCTGATTATAAAATAACAAGTCTGGAATTAAAATTTAGCAACATGTTTTTTAGAAAATTATTTATATTATGATTTTGGAAAATAAATTATTTATAACTTATAAAAATATTTTTAATATATTTATTTTTTCTAAAAAATAATTTTTAATCTATATATCTATACAACTCATTATAAATCAAACTACTCCTTATAAATTATAAAGCATTTATAATTAAGTATTTTTAATCTATAAATCATAGTATAAATTTTTATATTATTTCATTCTTCAAATATTAAAATTTATTATTAAGTATTTAAATAATATAGTATAATTTATTATTTCATTCTTTAAATATTAAAAATAGTTTTTATATTTAAAGAATAAAATAGTATTTTTAATTATAAATTAGAGATAAATTTCATTTATAAATTTAAGCAATCAAAAAGTATTTTTAATCTACAATAAATTGTACTCCTCCGATCCTTAATATAAGACCCATTTAACTAATTTGATTAGATTAAGGAAGTTAGGTAAGTTAGTTAATTATAAGAAAAGTGACACATTTTTCCTAAAACACCATAATCATCTTTCTTAATACCCCCTCTCTCTCTTCCACTTGATTATGGTTGAGAGAGCATCCATAGGGGTAATTTAGAGAAAACTGATAAATATGAGAAATGGGTCTTATATTTAGGACCAAAACCAATTCAACAATTGGGTCCTATATTAAGGACCGGAGGAGTACTATTTATAATTTATAAGAAGTAGTTTGATTTATAATGAGTTGTATAGATATATAGATTAAAAATTTTAAAAAAAAATTAAAAACGCGTGTTGTCATTTTCCCTAAATTTTATTTATAAATTTGAACAATAAAAAAGTTTTTTAATCTATAATAATTACACTTCAAGTTCTGATTATAAATTGGAGATAAAAATTATTTTTTAGCAAATTAAATAGATTAAAAATACTTTTTATAAGTTATAAATAATTTATTTTTCAAAAGTATAAAATAATTAATTGTTATAAAAAAACGTGTTGTTAAATTTTAATTCCAAATTTCTTATTTTATAATCAGAGCTTGTTATTTTATAATAAAAACTTGTTATTTCCAAATGTATTGTTGTTATCACCTGAAACAGAGTGTGTTGTTATAAAAAAAACGTGTTGTTAAATTTTAATCCTAGACTTCTTATTTTATAATCAGAACTTGTTATTTTCAAATGTATTGTTGTTATCACTTGAAACAGAGTGTGTTGTTATAAAAAAAACATATTGTTAAATTTTCATTCCAGACATGTTATTTTACGATCAGAACTTGTTATTTCTAAATGTATTGTTGTTATCACCTGGAACAAGAGTAAATGAGTTAACTTATATTTTTTTTGTATCATAATGTTAGCAAAAATTTGTTGGCTCGATGGTCATTCTTAATTTTGGGAAGCATTAGGTTGGGGGATCAAATCCCCCCAACCTCACTTCCCCTCAATTTAAAAAAAAAAAACAAAGGAAGGCCGCCGGCAATGGCCGGAATCCAACCGCTGGCATCGGAGCTCCAGCGGCTGGCAGCCGGGGTGGCAGAGCTCCGGCGGCCGGATTCCAGCGAGGCAGTGGTGTTGTTTTTAAAAAAAAATTAAAGAGGGGTATTTTGGTAATTTGGTCATGATTTCATAATTGCAAATTGGGACCGAGTCCTTATAAGCAATTTCTTAAATTTAAAGTCCCTGATTGCCATTTTATATATTATGGGGTCTTTATTTGTAATTTTCCCAATAAATAAGGGGAGGGGGAGTGGTTGAGGGAGTGGACAGATAGGAGTGGTTGGGATGGGAACAACATAGAAGCTGATGAAGAATTAATGCAAGTGGGTTGGGGGAGCAACATCAGCTCCCATACTGGTTGGTTGCTGCAAACAACCGAAAATACAGAATATATGAAAGAATCCTGGCAAACAAGTGACAAGGCAATTATCAACCCCATTCGATCCATAATATTTGCTCACCACCACAACATAATCTTGTTTCACGTGGTCTCACGTTCAACTATTCCCTCGTCTCCTTCAATCCCATTTAACTCACTTCACAATCACGATAATGATTCGTCTCTTCATGACCAACCCCCAGCATTATAAAAAAGCCGATCCATATAAATATATCAAGAAGATGTTTGGATAAAAACCAAATCATAATTTTAAAAGTGATTTTACAGTATACAAAGTAAATATGTGAAGGAGTTTATCTCAATTTACAGAAAAATACTTTTTAAAAGTACTTCTCATGCCATCCAAACACTTCTCAAGATTTGACTGGAAGGTCAGACATCACTATATAAATAATTGGTCCTTAGTTTATTATGGGTATTATATTGATATGATATCAAATATTGACATGAGTAATATATAAAGCTGTTATATCACTTTTTATTGTTCTCCTTTTTTTTTAAATGAATGCATTTCGCCTTTTAATTTTTGAAAAACTAATCTTAAACCTTTTTAATGAAGGGAGTGTTTGATTAGGACAAAAAATCTTTTAAAAAGTACTTCCACGTGAATAAACAATTTTTTTTTTGTAATTATTTTTTATATTATAAAATTATTTTTAAAATCATAAATTAGTTTTTCCTCAACACTCTTTTAAAAACTAACAATAATGATGCAGTTGTCAACTTGGCTCACCCTCCTTTCTCCCTGGACTTTTCCTCGATGGGTGAAGGTTGACACACTCACCGAGGCCTCACCCATATCTACCGGTCGTAAACTCCATTTATTTTCAACTGACAAGCGGGCACGGCAGCAACTTGTGTCGCATTTACTTTTAAAAAAAAAAAAATTACTACTTTTTAATTTATTATATTGTCATTCTCAAGACGCTATTTTCTTCTTTTTTTTATTTTGCCAACTCAAGACACTATATTAATTACCGTTATTTTTATAATCAGTCGCTCGTTTTTTACACTTAAGGAATGAAGATTTGAAGTCACTGTTACCAGTATACAACGCAAGCGCTCCCACAGTAACGAAAAAGACTGCACGAGAGTCGAGAAATGTGACTGACGCATCACATGCAAAATTAAAACGAGATGTACTATTTTACGATTTTTTAGCGAAAAATGTACTGTTGTGAATGTTTGTACGTGAAAGCAAGCATAATTTTTTCTTTAAAATAAGCCACAGTTTGTGACCTTGTGTTATCGATTTCATTGACTAACTTTTTATCAGTTATATAATTTTTAGGAAAAATTGTAAAAAAAGACCTTAGAATTGTAAAAACGCAGATAGGGACCCTTGATAACTTCACTTTGGGTTTTGACAACTTTAGGGCATATTATTCTTGTCAAAACCCAAAGTGAAGTTGTCAAGGGTCCCTATCTGCGTTTTTACAATTCCAAGGTCTTTTTTTACAATTTTTCCTAATTTTTAAGTCAACTCATAAAAAACCATTGATCAATCAATGCTGTTCTTTGCCTGTGGCCGAGGTTTAATTTTAATCACAGTATATAATTATGTAAACAAAATATAAGAAGTGTGCAATTTAATTAAATATCACGTTTTGTGATTTATCTGTGCCAACTACCATGTAGACATTTGCCTTCTCAATGAGTCCTGTACTTATTATTTAATAATAGTGGTTGCTCGCGCATTTTTAAAAAAATTCATTTATAAATAAATTATGGATCTGCCCAGCAATAGGAGTATGTACTAGTATTATTAAATGGAATAAAAGTCTAGGTGTGTGTTTGGACCAGATTGGACCAGGTTTGTTATTAACCTGAAATTTGGTCCAGTAAAGATGTCAGGCTAAAAAAGACAGCCTAAGGTCTGGTCTAGTCCAGTCCAATACTAACCCGAAGTCGAGTTAGACTGGACTTGGTCTTTTGGATTGCCTGGATCAGTCCAGAACCAAAATTAATTTTTTTTAAATTTTTTCTTCAATAGGAGGTAAGATTATAACTTATTATATAAAATTTTGCATATATTTTAATCCAAAGTTCATCTAATTTGATCATTCCCTTCCATTTTTCCAATAATGTCATGTTTTATTAATTAATCCTCATTAATATAGATCTTATATTGTAGAAAATATATACACATGCTTATTACTTAGGAAGTTAATTGATAAATCTTGATTATTTAAATAAACAAAAAACTTAAATAAAAAATTAAATCAAATTAAAATTATATAAATAATAATTAAAAAAAAAGGCTAGACTGGATTGGACTGGACCGGACCGGACCAACTGATCTGAGGGGTCAGTTCCTAGTCCAATCTGATCTAGTCTAGTATAATCTCGTTTCGAATCAATTTTTTCTACAGACTGAATCGGATTTGTTCGGTTTTTAGACAGCCCTATGAAAGTACATGAGCTGGCCAAGTGATATACTTTGCGTGCGTCAGCATCAAAGTCCAATTGATGTTTTCCCCGCTCCTCGGAAAACCTGGAGAAGGAGGAACGCGTACGCGTGGGGAACCAGAAACAATCTTGACCGTCCTTGGCGATCGCTTCCCTAATAATGTCACAGTACACATAATTAAATCTGTTATGGCATGTATTGATAATATTAATATTCCTCGCCCTTATTAAACTATGTCCTGATGTCTATGATTCGCACTCATCCTCGGCTTCTTGTGTTAGGTGGCTAGTGGATTATATGTACATTTTAGCAGGATTAAGTGATTAACCTCACGAAACCCATAATGATTATTCTTCTGAATTTATTTATAAGGCATTTTTAACATATTTTACACATATTAAGAAAAATTCTAAACTATATTAACTTTCTACTACTCCTCCGGTGTTAATTATAAGAGTCAGTTGACTAATTTGAGGAGATTAAAGAAGTAGAATTAAAATATATTAACTTTTCAATTTTATCTTTATTTAATATATACACATTTTTAAAATTATAATTATCTATGCTATAATAAATTAATGAAAAAATAGTGCAATAAATATCGCAAGCGAGGGTGTTCACATGCATGCTTAAGTCGGCGTTATTGGGAAGCGTGGCTTAGCTTGGCAAGGAATCCATCCTCATTTCTCCACGGACTATAACTCGATTGCTTAATTCGTTAGGATTCTTAATCTCTACGGAATTTGACCCTCCTCCCCAATATCCCTTTTCTCACCCCATGCGCCTATATTAACGCAACCTCCTTTCACACTTTGATCACCTCTAACCCCCATGCAAGGTCAGGACACCTTCGTCCAATTGGCTAGGTTCACGTCCACTTTGCTCGGTTTTCATGCCTTTGAATTAGTCACAGTGATTTTTTTCCATAACACAGGTCTAAAAAGTCAAAAAAGCTAATAATAGGTTTAAATTATAAGTTCTAGTCTCTCAAATTTTTTTATTTAAAATATTAGTTATTATAATTTAATAAAAATTTGAATCATTTTTCTCATTAAGAAACCAAATCTCATGATTTAAAATTTAATAGACTAGAAATAAAATGAGAATTAAAAAATAAAAAATTATATTAAGCCAAGTTAAGAAAGCTCGCTTCATATATAACTGCACAACGGGTAGCCTTTTTTTATTAAAAATCTTAAATTATCACATTTTGGGTGTGCGGGGAGGCAAAGACATTCTCGTTTCTCTCTCTGTGTTAAAAAAAAAAAAAAAAAAGAACGCTCAGAACAGCGTTCGATGGGGGTAGCTGAGACAAGCCTCACATGACTACCAGTTATTCTTATCAAGAAAAGACAATGAATGAAATTCGTAGAGATGCAATGAACCATTAATAATACAATATTCATTTTTGCATTTAACAATGACTTATATTTTTGTGCTCACGTCATATTTATAAAGCCATAAACCAATTACTTATATTTTCCTATTTTTGTATGATATACAGAAGTGTCTAATTTATGGGGCGTTTAAAAAAAAAAAAAACCGAGGTGAACGTGAATCTGTCATGGATTCGTGGTATTATTCAAGCGAGTGAATCTATTTTAAATTATTTTATCTTTTTGAGATAATGGAAGAAGGGCGGGGGCAGCGGTGAGGTTATGATGGCCAAAGGGGACCTATCTTTGATTTCAATGAATTAAAATTGTTTAAAGCTGCAGACTAGTGAAATATTCTCAAACTATGAAATACTTAATAAAAAAACTAATTTTCTTTTGATCAAACTATTTTTTAAAAAATGTTATACAAACTACAAAAATTCCAACCTCAAGTCCATGCGTCCTTGTAAAGCCCAGGCACAAGCAACGCAACAGAAGCATGGCGTGGGTCCGAACCCCACGTTAATAATGGCCGCAGCTCCGAGTCGAATCCGCCGAAAGAGCAAGTGGCCGGTCCCACAACCGCCCATTAAAGGTTATAAAATCCACGTGGCAAACCTTCCCTGGTGA